TGACTTTTAACTTTTTGGAGAGAGCCCAAAAGTTCAGGAAACTGAAGTGTTACTGCAGCCTCAAGATGGCAGTGTTCATTTGTTTAATACAAAACTGTCAGATAACATTACAGTATATAACAAATACTTTACTATAGCGTAAAAAAATAATGTTCCCTCAGCATAGAGCACCATGCTCTGGATTATTATTTACATGTTGCAGAAGCGAAGGGGTTAAAGACACCTATTATAATACTAATGTTAAAACCTTGGAATACCAACAGGCCCAACACCATTGCTGTGAATCTGAGGCTTATTTCACTCCTCATTTCCAATATCTTACTATTATTAAAACAAGCAGTAAGAAACTACCATAAATGAGAACAAAAAAAACCAAGCTAGGAGGTTGGATGTAAACAAAACACAGCAGCTAGCACGATACCATAATATATAGTATAATAGTGCAATGCACATATATTATGTGTCACCACAAATTGAAAAAATAAAGGAATCCAAATGTGAAGCCAAAAACTGTGAATTCAGTGGTTCTTCGATTGTGAGGGAAATGACAGATGTGGATGTCAAACACCACCAAAACTTCTTAATGATGAACCATACAGTACAACAAAGGGAAGCTTACCTGAATCATATGACCCCCAATTAAGAGTGGTCAACCAGCACTTGTGTATCAATCCAAGATATCCAGCGTTCCTCAAAACCACATGTCAAACGATGGTACTGCTGTGTTGTATCAGATATATACCCAGTTGGATATAGTATAATGAAAAAGAAAAAGACAGGCTCTTCATAGTGTAATCCAGATTAACACACCAATTTAATGTGATAAATGCACTTGTAATGAAAAGATGACAATCAGGCACTTCATATCATATAAACCACTCGTATTCCAAAATCCAAGATGGCTGCAGCAGGATATTCGTAGTGGCATGTGTTCCATCTCTGCCGTACTAGTTTCGGCAAAGACGACGTCATCAGAATGATTCATCCTGGCTCATGCTCCTGATGATGTCAGTAGGGTAGAGATGGAACACATGCCACTACGCATATGTAATCCTACTACAGCCATCTTGGATTTTGGAATTTGGACACTATTAGGGTAGAGATGGAACACATGCCACTACGCATATGTAATCCCACTGCAGCCATCTTGGATTTTGGAATTTGGACACTAGTAGAGTAGAGATGGAACACACGCCACTATACATATGTAATCCCACCGCAGCCATCTTGGATTTTGGAATACAAGTTGTTTATATGATATGAAATGCCTGATTGTCATCTTTTCATTGTAAGTGCATTTATCACATTAAATTGGTGTTTTAATCTGGATTACACTATGGAGAGCCTGTCTGTTTCTTTTTCATGTTACTATGTCCAACTGAATATATATGCACAGTAATCTGACATAACGCAGCAGTTTGACATGTGGTTTTGAGGAACGCTGGATATCTTGGATTGATACACAAGTGCTGGTTGACCACTCTTAATTGGGGGCCATATGATCCTAGTAAGCCTCCCTTTGTTGTACACCGAGGTGCTGTGTGGTCCATCATTAAGAAGTTTTGGTGGTGTTTGACATCCACATCTGTCATTTCCCTCATAATCGAAGAACTACTAAATTCTCAGTTTTTAGCTTCACAGTTGGATTCCTTTATTTTTTCAATTTGTGGTGAAAGCGTTTGATATATTTGCATTGCACTATTGTATTGCACATACATTGTAATTTATTTTAGCTCTGCACTATTGTTTTGTGAAGCAGTAAGAAAAGCTGGCAAATAATTATCAGCCATACATTAGAGAAGGTCTGGGCGTACATGTTTAATACACAGCACCACACAAGAGATCCTAATAATGATGCTGCATCAAGGTCAATTTTAAAGATTTTACATTAAGTGAGAACATGGGAAAGCTGCAGTAATTCAAGTCACAGAGGATAAACGTGTGTTATTTAAGTCACATTATAGAGCTGCTACACACAGAACAATTAAGAGATTTGTACAGTAAATCTAACATTTACAAAGAGCTACTGACAACCTGGGAACTGCAATTAACTGCAAAAATCAGCTCTGCTTCAAAGGAAAGAAAGTCTTGTACATCTGTGCACAGAGCTGGATGTATAACTGGAAGCTACAGTGCCCGGTACAAAATGTGAGCAGGTGTCCACATTGTAATCTGTACCCTGATCATTTGCAGCATTTCTGCAACATCCAAGTTGGAAAACAGTGGTTTTCAATGTACCAACTATAAGGGGTCTCAACTGTGGCCTTTCGCACCACCAATGTTCAGTATATGTAATGCTACAGAAGACAGAGAAGAAGCTGCAAAAATAATAGGAGGGTGGGATGATCAGAGACAGTAAATATGATACAAGTCTGGTAGGAGATTGAATATATGCTGCAAAAGGCAGCCATAGACTGGGAACATGGTACATAAGGCTAGCAGAGATCACAACAGAAATCTGGTCCTTTGTCCCTGACAGCACAGGGCCCTACCACTTGGTACAGCATTCAGGCAGTCCAGCCACACCAGACACTTTGACAGGCTGCCTAGATGCTGTACCTGTTCCTCCAGGGAGCACTAAAATGTTGAGAGGGACACACTGATCCTACATGTCCTATATACAAGGGGCCTTAAAGGGTTAGTCCACCTTTTCATTTTTAATGAAAAGGTGGACTAACCATTTAAGGCGAAGATGAACTAACACCCTTACCCCCACCCCATCTCTGCTGTAATTACCTCAGTGGATGATGAGCTGTCAGTGCCCATGCAGCTGGTGCACTGGTCCAGGGATTTTCAAGGGTTTCCAGGATGGATCAGAGTGATTCTATGCTGGCCAATCAGAATTCCTCTAAAGCCTGGAAGCCCTGCAGAAAGAAAGGGGCGAAAAGTGGGGTTTTCAAATCCCCAAACCACTGCACTGGCTGCATGGGCACTTACAGCTCATCACCCATAAAAGTAAGTACAGAGGGACCTGGGGGGGGGGGGGGTTCAAAGTGTAGGGTGTTAGTGCATCTTTTAATTTTTTCTGAAAAGGTGAACTTACACTTTAAGCAGAAAAGGAGAAGCTCCTGTTGCTTCGGAGAAACCATTCTATTCCTGCTCAACTACAATGTGCTGAAGAGAAGAATCCATCACACCAAGAAACTTGAAATCACTTCATGTGTGGGAAAAGACACCATAATACCGAGCTTGTTTTTGCAGAGAGAGTTGTAACATACAAAGTAAAGAAGGACTCAGAAATTTTAGATACACATGGTTCTTACCTGATTTGTGCTTTAAGCTTTGTATATTTGTCATAACCATAAGCTTACTTACATCTGCAAGTCATAAGACTGCACCTGCCTCATGCCCTTCATCACAGCCCTCGTCTAATGAGAATTTTGATGAGATTTATAATTACCTATTAATCATGAAAGATCAGAATTTTAGTCATCTGCTCCTGGCAGAGAATGATTTTATCATCTGTACTTGCGGTGGCGTTGACTTGCACATTGGCCTTAAATTTTATATCAGCATGTAAATCTGATGAACAGGTGGTGGATTGATAATGACATCGTCTCTGAAATACAAGACAAGGTGCCGAATGCCTTGTGGCAGAGGAGACAATGTCATCAATTTTACCTGAGAGCTGGAGAGCTATCGGCTGCACACTTCTATGGTGTTAAGAGGCCCATAGATATTAGATGTCCATCTTGCACTTCCTTTAATTCGGACCCCATCAAATAATAGGTAGGCTTACTATGGGTCAGAACAGACCATAGCAAATACCTTTAGATCACCACTGTAGGTCAGGATTATACAGTATACGGTATAATCTCATCAGGTGGACATGAAGATTATACTTCCCCCCTATGTTTGCTCTGGTTTTCTTCCTGGATCTTTGGTTTCCTCCAACAAATCAGAAAAAAATATACTGGTTTTAAACTTTAATGTGGGTTTCTGTATGACCATTGTGGGGACATCAAAGCTGACCATAGATGTGGCTATTTGAAAGAATATTGAACTTAGATTCAAATACATTCTTTACAAAATTACAAAGCAATCAAAGACATAAAATGGTGGTTCGATCAACAGCAACTAGGTGGAGTGGAAATTGTCCCATACCTGGAGGAAAATCTGAATACTTTTGACTACTCTGCCCTTGTTTCAGTTTTCATTCAAACTTTTAATAAACTGTAATGAAGCTGTCAATTTATTGCCCAGTTTCACGTCACAATTAACCAAATTCTGGTTACTGGTCAAACTTGTGAGAGGTAAATTGCTTAGTTTGTAGTGATTTATTGTGATCATATTTACTTCCCGGAGGAAAGAAAGTGGTTAAAATTTACAGAAATTGACACATGCATGACCCGCTTAAGGCCGTATTCAAGAAGGAGGTCTTACTTGTAAGTTTTAATTATTATAGGTGACCACTAATCAGAAACTACTTGTGCATTCAGACCAGTACAAGATAGATTTTGATTGGTTGGTGTCAGTTCCTCCACTTAACCTCCCTAGCGGTCTGATTATGTCCATATTTCTGTGCTGAAAGCGGTACTTTTTTTGCATGGAAATATGTATTTTTTTTATTGTAGGCCTGTAATTTTTAGGAATAACTCACTGAAATCTGTCCGAACAAGAGTCTAGTAAACATCCCGGGTATGATAAAACTTGAAACACAAAATCATAAATTATAATTTAATAAATAATCATAAATATAATAATAATAATACATTTAATTCAATAATATAATCAAACCAAAAACACTGAAATTTGAAATATAGCGCCAAGTTCGCACATCGCTAAGCAAAGTCGCAAAATTGTTTTCAGTGTCTGATGACGAATTTCCCCACGAATCATTATCACTCAATTCTGCAAGTGGTTCTGATTTACTATCGCTATTCTCTAGTCGCTTTTGACCAAAAGGGACGCTTTTTGGACGCCGTGGACTTTTCTAAGTTTCCAGGCAGAAAGAACAGTCAAAATGCAGGTAGGGCACATGACAAAGCAGTAGGGACAAAATGTATGTGAAATGGTTTGATACAGTAATGGTTTACTATGTCAAATTAATTTCTAAGAAAATGACAGTTTCTAAAAATGTTTACATTTGTCGCCGTTCCGGCCCCCATACGTCCCAATGCTCGCAGGGACTGGAACACAGAAGCCAGATGCCTGCATCAGCCGGAGGAGATGGCCAGGGAAGCTGCAGGGGACACATCGTGGGAGCGAAGAACAAGGTAAGCGCTGCAGGGACTCTCTGAGCAACACCGCATGGTAAGCCCGAGTGTAGCTTGGGGTTACCGCTTTTGGTACTGAAACTTTACCCCGAGCTACACTCGGGAATACCGCCAGGGAGGTTAAGGCTCAGTTGAAATAACAGATGTAGTTATTCAATAAGATGGACTTCGTACTAACAACTAGATAACTTTAGTTATGAATTGAAATTTGGGCAAATTTTTCCCTATTCGAAGATCTGAATGTATCCAAATCACAACAATAACGAATTTCAATGAATCCAAAATAAATTATGACAAAAGTAACATATTCATTTGTTTCATTCATTTGCGATTTTAGAGGGTTTTGTAAGTTCAATAATATGTGTCACACTCTATATTGTTATGATTGGCCAAAGCCAAACTTGCAGGACATTAAAGTCGCAAGCAAATTGCAAGGCATCAAAGTCGCAAACAAGTTGCAATGTAAAGTTGCACTGGAAACATAAGGAATGAATCTGAATCTTCCGAAATAACTTCCAAAAATATGAATCGATTCAGAACAACAAATATACAAAACAAATCCGAATATTCCAAACAAATTCAGAAAACAACTTATTCAACAATGAATATGATGACACGAAACGGTTGACTTAACAAATGAATCCGAAACGAAAAGAAGCAGTTTGTTTGTCATGAACATCTCTACAAACAACTTCCATTTTCATAGTCTTGCCTCTATTATCCTGTTACAGTAGTCATTCAGGGTGTCTAATCATGACAGTGCAGTTTAATAGGTACCAGAAAAGTCCCACTGCTCTCAATAAATCTGGTCAGTCACACCATCTTCAATACAAATCTGTTAGAGGACATTGGTGCTGAGGGGTATGGCTGTTACTCTGCTCAGCCAGCATAGAGCACTGGAGTGTTAGAGCAGAAAGTATAAAGTATATATAAAGTATAAAGTATATATAAAGTAGAAAGTATAGTATATAGTAACGTTTTCGGAAAAAAATTATGTTTTAAAGTGTTACAAAATCCATGACCCTGTATTCACTATATCTGGTCTCCCACAGTACACAGAACATGAAAATGCAATTATTTTTAGTAAATATAAATTGCTAAATACATTTTCTCATCAAACGTATATAGAAGTCTTGTGACTTCTATCAGTGTCCGGCTGAGCACTGGTTAATCTTGTAGGAGGAGTTTTCATTCATGTCCTAAGATGCTGCATGGCCCTTCTCCTTCTGGCTGGACAGTGCTGATTGGCCTTGTGCTGATCACATGTACCCTCTCCCCCCAAAAAAACACACATCAAACAGAGCATGTGCAGACTTGCCACTGGCTGCTCTGTATTATGGCAGATGGATTGGGAACAGTAAAAGAAGTTGAGGATCAGAGAAGACAGGATCAAACCACCTTTTTACACAATGCGGAAGATTAACCCCTTTGGTTCCACAGTAAGAATAACAAGCATGCTTTACTGCATATGCAGACTGATTGTACTGTTGTGGGTTTAGTAAAACTTTAAGGTGTGTGATTTCACTGGGACTTTATGAATTAGCTCTTAGGAATAGGGATTATTTACTTAATAAATTTACAAATTCAGATACTATACAATAAATAAAAAAGAAAAACAGAAACAAAAATGAGCAAAAGGACTTCTTACACTTACCCGATCGTTATTTAAAATTTAAACCAGAATAGCTGCCAACACAGTCCTTTAGAGTAAAAGGAAATCCATGTGTGATTCAGCTGGCCACCAATGTTCTGGATGAAGCCTAAAGCAGAACTATAGGCAAAATATTGTTTTTTTCATTTTGCATAGTTTAAAGAATTATAACCCATGTCAGGTTGTTTTTTTACCATCTGTGTATTATTGAGGAGATTTACCTTGATTTCCTTCCACACAGCCAAAACAGGAAGTGAGAAGAAATTTTAACCAGAATAGCTGCCAACACAGTCCTTTAGAGTTAAAGGAAATCCATGTGTGATTCAGCTGGCCACCGATGTTCTAGATCAGTGGTTCTCAACCTGTGGGTCGTGACCCCTTTGGGGGTCGAACGACCCTTTCACAGGGGTCACCTAAGACCATCAGGAAAACACATATTTCTGATGTGTAAAGAGCAGCTACTGTGTAGAGAGCAGCTACTGTGTAGAAAGCAGCTGCTGTGTAGAAAGCAGTTACTGTGTAGAAAGCAGTTACTGTGTAGAAAGCAGCTGCTGTGTAGAAAGCAGTTACTGTGTTGAAAGCAGCTACTCTGTTAAAAGCAGCTACTGTGTTAAAAGCAGCTACTGTGTAGAAAGCAGCAGTATTGGAGGTAAAAGGACACTCATGAATTATAATTACTGGGTAAATAATTTTATTGTTGGGGGTCACCACAACATGAGGAACTGTATGAAAGGGTCGCAGCATTAGGAAGGTTGAGAACCACTGTTCTAGATGAAGCCTAAAGAAGAACTATAGGCAAAACTTTTTTTTTTTTCATTTTGCATAGTGTAAGGAAGAATTATAACCCATGTCAGGTTGTTTTTTTATCATCTGTGTATTATTGAGGAGATTTACCTTGATTTCCTTTCACACAGCCAAAACAGGAAGTGAGAAGAATTCCCTACAAATTAAGGGAACCTCTTGGGGCCCCAAGGTCATCAGAACTACTGTCCCCATTGGAATATTTCCCTTAAATTACTTTTCTAGAGACAAGCCAAAATGTGCAATACAAGCGGAGATACAGGTAGCAATAAAAACCTGACAGGGGTTCTATTCCATCTCCACTCTGTCCAAAACTAAACAAAAAAAGTTTTGCCTTTAGTTATACTTTACTGTTAAAATACTGTTAAATGGTTAAGAAAAATGTTAACAACTGAATATGTGTTCCTACAGAAAAGTAGGTTCTAGTAAAGTAAATATAGTTTAAAGAGTTTCAAAATTTGGCACCTCACTGCAGTGCAGATGGAAAAATGCCAATGATATGATGTTGTGCTTGTTAGCAAAGTATCAACAAGCTGTCACTTATTCATAAGAGCAACAAGCCTCAACTTGTAATATTGGAAGAGAAGATCTCACAGAAAGTGCTGCAATCACAAATCCCATAGGTCAGGAATTTGGAGTTCTCATGACGGGCCTGACTAGTGTTAATTAATGTATTAGGCTCGCCAACACTGAACAAAAAAACTTTGTAACTTTACAGTTTAAATCTCAAACTCATATTACAGGACCACATGAGATATATCAGAGATGTCTTCTCCATACTCAACCTTCTCTCCTTCATCACCCTCTCACCTCTGGGCTTCTAATGTGTGTCTTCCCTTTTCTATAAATCTCTACCACATGCCATTCAGCATTCTTCAACACTTATTAATCCTCACATGCCTAAAATGACCCTGTCACCGCAGGGGGATTCTTACATAATATTCCACCTGTAAATGAAGCATGGATATATTTATCTTTCCAGTGGCTCATGTGCTGTAAAATCGTAGCTTTTCTGCTCCTCAGCTAAACCCATGGCTCTTCTCCAGACTCGCTCATTTCATCCTACATGGACAGTCAAGGTTCTGGATACCACAGCCTGTCTCTACTCTCAGTCAAAAGTAAACAATTTAAGCTGCACTCCAAAGCTTAACACTTCTTTGTGTGCTTATTTGTCAAAAAAACTGCATACAATAATGTCTCTGCCCGCCAGGGCTGCTGTTAGAGACCACAGGGCCCCGCACAGCCAATGTAACAGGGCCCTTAAATAAACACAGTTAGGCTTCAGTTATGAATGAACACAGTGAGTGATTGCTACCAATCACCATTGTGTTCATTCAGGACAGGAAGGGGCTGGTAAATGAAACATATTTATGGACCTTTCCCCCACTCTCCATCCTAAGGATCCTATAGTGTGCTTGCAGCTGCCGGTGGGAAGGAGAGGAGGGAAGCACTGTGGAGGTGGGGAAGCAGCATACAGGGAGACTTATGCAGGCCATAGATGGGTTGAAAATCGGTCGATTGTCGCACCGTTAGTGGGTTAATTGGTCGGACGTTTTTCAGGGTTTTGGCACATTTTTTTTATCGGTCAAGTTGGAAAATTCGTGGCCAATTTTGACGATCGGCTGATTTTCTCGGCAATGATGGGCAAATCGGCCGATCGTTTAACCAATAAAAAATCTGCGCATGAGCCGTGACCTGCAGGAAGAAGAAAAAGAAGAAGAAGAAGAAAACGAAGAAGAAAAGAAGAAGAATAAGAAAAAGAAGAGGAAAAAAAAGGAGAAGAAGAAGAAGAAAAAGAAGAAGAAGAATTCCAGTCCGCTATTATATTTGACATGAAAAAGTTTTGCGGTTGCAACAATGCATTTATTTGTATCCGAATAAAAACATCTGTATCCGAAATGGATACAAATAGATACATTGTTGCAACCGCAATACTTTTTCATGTCAAATATAATAGCGGAGCTCTCTGCAAGGGACAGAAGTAATTAAATGCCGGCTGTAGACGGGACGAAAAACAGCCGATTTTTTTACCGTTGGTGGTAACGTCGGCCGATCGAACGACCGATTTTTCGTTTTTTAAAAAAAAACGGCCGGTTTTCGACCTGTCTATGGCCTGCATTAGGCAGCATGAAGAAATGTATGGTGCATTGGGAGGGTGCTGCAGAGACAGCCATACAGGGGATCAGTTCCAGTTATTTCCCCACCACCTGCTTTGCCGATTACCCTCCCTGCCCACATCTAGTTCACCCAGCTGATCTGGGCCCCATACAGGAGGACCAGTGGTACCCCCTTATCCACAGCCCTGCTGTCCGAAACCAACCTTTTCTTATGCTTTTCACCACTGCTGGCTTGCTCACAAAGATGAGGACCTACAGCGAGGGGTGAAGTAGGTGTTGGGTTTAATTTTTGTAGAGTGAACCCACAACTAGGCTTTAAAATATTCTTTTCAGTCAGTGACATAGCACTTCTTCCTCTGCCATCTGACGATGCACACGTTATTATTTTATGAAAAAAAAAATGTATTCCCCTGCTTCTTTTTTCTACTTATTATTCCTCCCTAGATTGTGGGGGCGCTAATTCTTATTATATACAGTGCATTCCAAAAGTATTCAGGTACCCTTTATTTCTTCAATTTTGTTATGTTGCAGCCTGACACTACAGTGGTTAAAAATTCATTTTTTTCTCATTAATCTACATTCAGTACCCCGTAATGACAAATTGAAAGAGAATTTTAGAAATGTTTGTGAATGTATGAAAAAGGAAAAACCGAAATAACATATTGGCATACGTATTCAGACCTTTTGCAACAACACTTCAAATTTAGTTTAGGTGCCTCCTGTTTCTCTTCATCGTTGCTGAGATGTTTCTATACCTTGACTGGAGACCACCTGCGGTAAATTAAATTGATTGGACATAATTTGGAAAGGCCCACACCTCTCTATTAACCGCTAGCCTACAGGGCACTTATACCCCCTTCTTGCCCAGGCCAATTTCCAGCTTTCAGAACTGTTGAATGGAAATTGTGCAGTCATGCAACATTGTACCCATATGAAATTTTTATCATTTTTTTGTGACAGATAGAGATTTATTTTGGTGGTATTTAATAACCTCTGGGTTTTTTATTTTTTCTTAAACAAACCAAAGACCACTAAAAATTTTGAAATAAAAAACGTTTTTTCTTAGTTTTTGTTATACAATTTTGTAAATGTAAAGTTTTTGTAAAGTGATTTTTCTGCTTCACTGATATGCACTACTGAGGCTACAGTGATGGGCACTAATAGGCTGCACTGATGGACACTGATAGGTGGCACTGATGGGCACTGATGAGGAGGCACTGTTAGGTGGCACTGATGGGCATTGACAGGCATCACTGATGGGCACTGAAAGGCAGCGCTGATACATGGCACTGATAGGTGGCACTGACTGGCACTGATAGGCGGCTCTGACTGGCGGCACTGACTGGCAGCACTGACAGGCACTAATAGGTGGCACTGACTGGCACTGATAGGCGGCACTGACTGGCACTGATAGGCGGCACTGATATGTGGCACTGATTGGCATTGATAGGTGGCACTGACTGGCACTGATGGGTGACACTGAAAGGCAGCTCAGGTGGGCACTGATATGTGGCATTGATGTGCACTGGTAGGCACTGATATGTGGCATTGATGTGGCACTGATGGGCACTGGCACGAGGCACTGATGAGCACTGACACAAGGCACTGATGGACACTGACAGGTGGCGCTGCTGGGGCTACACCGATCATCAGGGCACACTGATCATCAGTGCCCTGATGATCAGTGTACATGTCTCCTCCGCGGAAAGCTGATTACCGGCTCTCCTCTCGAGCTGTCAGCATGACAGCTCGAGAGGAGAGAAATGCAGATAACCGGCATTTCCCTGTTTACATGTGATCAGCTGTGATTGGACACAGCTGATCACATGACTGAGCCGACATCTCCGGCTCTTTCCGTGATCGGTGATCCGCTGTGTCTGAGGGACACAGTGCACCGCCGATCGCCGCGCTGCGCGCTCCCTGAGCGGTGAGAATGGGAGGATGTCATATGACGTCCTCCCAGAACGAGAGAGCCACCATGCATCAATCATATTACTATATGGAGGGCGGGAGGTGGTTAAAGGCCTCACAGCTGACAATGCATACTGTATCAGAGCAAAAGCCATGAGATCAAAGGAACTGCCTGCAGAGCTCAGAGGCATGATTATTGCAAGGCACAGATCTGGGGAAGGCTACAGAAAAAATATCTGATGCACTGAACATTCCCAAGAGCACAGTGGCCTCCACAATTCTCAAATGGAAGAAGTTTGGCACAACCAGGACTCTTGCAAGAGCTGGTCGCCTGGCCAAAGTGAGAAATTCAGGGAGAAGGGCTTAGTAGGAGAGGTGATCAAGAACCCAATGGTAATTCTAACTGAGCTCCAGAGATGCTGTATGGATATGGGACAAAGTTCTATAAGGACAATCATCACTGCAGCCCTCCACCGATCTGAGCTTTATGACTTATGAATGGGGGGAAGAACGCTTATACATTGTTGATCAGTGGGGAAACTGCCCCCCCCCCCCTTACACACAGCTAAAAAGATAATTTTTAATCGCAGTTACTGAGATTTGGAAACTCTACATTGTTCAAGGAAACTCTAGAAATGTCTGGAGGAACCTCAGAGTCTGGGCTTTATGCCAGAGTGTCTAGACAGAAGCCTCTTCCCAGTGCAAAACACATGGAATCCCAGTGAGAGCCCTTCCGGTGATTTTTGAAAACTTCAAATGGGCTTTGGGAGAAGAAAATGTCCTGGTGCCAGTGGGGGTTTTTACAATGCCCCATCATTGGTATTAGGGGGAAGAATAGTGCCCCATCTTTGGCTTCAATAGGAAAAATAGTCTCCCATCATTGTTGTCAATAAGAGGAATAGTGCCCCATCATTAGTATCAATGGAAGAAATAATGCCCCATCGTTAGTATCAACGGGAGAAATAGTGTCCCATCATTGATATCAACAGGAGTTAAAGTGCCCCATCACTGGTATCAATTGAAGAAATAGTGCCCCATCATTGGTGTCAATGGGAGAAATAGTGCCCCATCATTGATGTCAATGGGAGAAATAGTGCCCCATCATTGGTGTCAATAGGAGGTATAGTGCCCCATCATTGGTGTCAATAAGAGGAATACTGCCCCATTCCCCATTATCTATGTCAGTGGGAGAAACTATGCCACATGTTGCTTGCAGTGGGAGGACTAATGCCTCGAGAGCCGGATAAAAGCACGCAAAGGGCCTCAGTTTGGAGACCACTGTACTAGTGTATTACTCATTCATGTTTGTACTCTGTACCTTGTACAGAGCGCCATGGGAGGTGGTGGTATTATATACTGTAAGTAATTATTAGTTACAATCATTTTTATTCCCTTACCTTTTTATTCTTTCCCTTAGCCTGGGTTCACATATATGAGGTGCGGTAAATCACATGTGATTCACACAGGAACAGCGCCACATTCCTGTGCAAATGACATGTGATTTGTGTGCGGTGTGATTGGAGTCATACATTTTGCACGGCTCTAATTGCACAGCAGCTGCACCAAAAACATGCAGGACCCTTTTTTTGGTCCGTACTAGAATCGGATTGTATGGGTATTCACACATGCGATCCGATTCTGCACATCGCACCACATTTGGCGGGTGTGAATGGGGTGCAATTCTGATGCAGTGCAGAATTCGCACTTAAAACGCTGCAAATTCCGCACCGCATCAGTGTGAACCAGGGCTTAATCCTCCCTAGATTGTGGAGGCCCTAATTGTTATTATATAGTGCTTTTATCATATGTACTGGTACAGTGCCTTGAAATCGTATTCATACCTCTTGAACGTTTCCACATTTTGTCATGTTACAACCAAAAGCGTATTTTTATTGGGATTTTATGTGATAGACCAACACAAAGTGGCACATAATTGTGAAGTGGAAGGAAAGTGATAAATGGTTTTCAAATTTTTTTTACAAATAAATATCTGAAAAGTGTGGCATATATTTGTATTCAGCCCTTTTTACTCTGATATCCCTAACTAAAATCCAGTGGAACCAATTTCCTTCAGAAGTCAATCTAATTAGTAAATGGAGTCCACCTGTGTGTAATTTAATCTCAGTATAAATACAGCTGTTCTGTGAAGCCCACAGTTTGTTAGAGAACAAACAGCATAATGAAGGACAAGGAACACACCAGACAGGTCAGGGGTAAAGTTGTGGGGAAGTTTAAAGCAGGGTTGTTATAAAACAATATCCCAGCTCTGAACATCTCATGGAGCACTGTTCAATCCATCATCCAAAATTTGAAAGAGTATGGCACTACTGCAAACCTACCAAGACATGGCTGTCCACCAAAACTGACAGGCTGGGCAAGGAGAGCATTAATCAGAGAAGCAGCCAAGAGGCCCATGGTAACTCTGGAGGAGCTGCAGAGATCCACAGCTCAGGTGGGAGAATTTGTCCACAGGACAACTATTAGTTGTGCACTCAACGAATCTGGCCTTTATGGAAGAGTGGCAAGAAGAAAGCCATTATTAAAAGAAAGCCAAAAGAAGCCCTGTTAGCAGTTTGCAAGAAGCCATGTGAGGGACACAGCAAACGTGGGAAGAAGGTGCTCTGGTCAGATGAGACCAAAAATGAACTTTTTGGCCTAAAAACAAAACGCTATGTGTGGCAGAAAACTAATACTGCATATCACCCAGAACACACCATCCCCTCCCTGAAGCATGGTGGTCACAGCATCATGTTGTGGGATGCTTTACTTCAGCAGGGACAGGGAAGCTGGTCAGAGTTGATGGGAAGATGGATGGAGCCAAATACAGGGCAATCTTAGAAACACAACCTGTTAAGAGTCAGCAAAAGACTTGAGACTGGGCCGGAGGTTCCCCTTCCAGCAGGTGTTAGAATGGCCCAAGGTCCAGACCTAAATCCAATTGGGAATCTGTAGCAAGACTTGAACATTGCTGTTCACAAACGCTCTCCATCCAATCTGACAGAGCTTGAGCTATTTTGCAAAGAATGGGCAAAAATTTCACTCTCTAGATGTGCAAAGCTGGTAGAGACATCCCCAAAAAGATTTGCAGCTGTAATTTCAGCAAAAGGTGGTTCTACAAAGTATTTACTCAGGGGTGGCTGAAGATAAACTTAAAAACATTTTGAAAACCATTTATCATTTTCCTTCCACTTTGTGTTGGTCTCGTCAGATGAGACCAAAATTGAACTTTTTGGTCTAAAAACAATACGCTATGTGTGGCAGAAGCTAACACTGCATAAGACTAACATTTTATTTTCTTCACATAAAATTCCAATAAAATACATTTCCGTTTTTGGTTGTAACATGACAAATGTGGAAACATTCAGGGGGTATGAATACTTTTTCAAGGCACTGTATGTTACTCATTCAGGTTTGTACTCTGTACCTTGTATAGATCTCATGGAGTTGACAGCATAGTACTATAAAACTTATTAATTACAATACATTTTATTCCTTTACCTTCTTTCTACCCCTTAATCCTCCCTGTGGGGGCTATATTTCTTATTCTATAGTGTGTTTTTATATATGTACTTGTTTATTTCTTACTCATGTTAGTACTCCATACCTGGCACAGAGCACCATGGGAGGTGATGCCATGGTACTGTTTAAATTATTATAAATTACAATAATAGTTATAACGAATTATAAATATTCTGCATGATCCCAACAGGCATCAATACTTACAACACTAAATGTCCTGATCTAATTAAGGTCTGGAGTGCATGCTGGGAATCTTCTGACATTGTGTTGCAGAATGTCTATGTAACGGTATGAAGTTTTTTCGGAAAAGGTTTGCTGATTTACCTATCCAATGAAGACTTTCCACACAGTGTTCTCCATGTACATAAATATATTTTGGACTAATTCAAGAGTTGGTGTGTGGTCTGGATCTCTGCATAGGTGCTCTGTTCAGTATACTGTGGTTGAAAGACAGACATATGGGAAAATTGAGAGTGCTCAAAGCCAGTCTTCTGTATTAAGGCTGAACTTCAAGCAGATATAAAAACACATACTGTGTGTAAAGCAGTTCTGTATCCTTTAAAAAAATGTTTAAATGTGATATTTACATGCAAATAGCATAACTACACGAACGTGAATTACTTTAGCAGAGGGAAGATCAGGAATAGGAAACAGCCAAGTGGCCATACACCAGAAGAAAACCTTCTCAAGTACACAACAGAGCACATTTTTTTTTCCAAATGCTCCTCCACAAATGCTTCTCATTGCAGCTCCAAAATGGATCTCTCAAACTTGTGGCTGCACATCCTCTTCAATGTACCTGACTCTACATGGTTCTTCTGTCTTTGGGAAAGGGCTCTCCAGAAGCTCTCCTCACAGTTCCACCTCGCCGTCACCACCCATCTCTCGCTCTAATTGTATTTGGGCTTCCTTACTCCATGTTATTCTTTTTTGTGGTCCCAACTGCGTTTGAAAACTTCTTCTGTACTATAGTATTTGGCATAACCTGCAGACCAGATGTTATTTAATAGTGTTTAGGGGTTATAAATGTCCACACAACTGCATTTAACTATCAAACTTCTCCACTGGAAAGTTATTCTCAGCAAAATGAACATAGCAAGTCCCTATTTCCAAGTTCAATAATTGGCTGACATGATCAGAGCTTCTACTGGAGTTCTTTCTCTCAGGCTACTCCATACATAGGATCAGTGAATATTCCTCCTCATCTCAACTCAAATCCGCACTTAAGGACCCTCAAAAGTATAGCACTACATGGCACTTTCTCATCCACCAATCACTCATCAAAGTCAAGGACACAATCTCTCAACCTTTTTTGGGAGTTGATCAATATCTACATCTTGTGCTGTGTGTGGGCGATTTGTGCATTGGGTGTGATGTCACTGCGCATAAGCGCGTGATGTCATGATGCAGCACGTGTGGGAAGGACCCAGTGGCCATTTTATACGCCCATTTTGTGGACATGCC